TTCTTTTTGTGTAAAAATATTTTAATGACTTTTTATGTTAGTAATCTCATATAATAGTTGTCCATTTGTGACTGGCTTTATTTCACTCAACATAATATCCTCCGAGTTACTCCATACTGAGCATTTCATAATTTGTCCTTCTTTAGCATTGTGTAGTATTCCACCGTTGGTTTACCCTCTCTTCCATTGATGAGCGTGCAGGTGTTATGAATAGTGCTGGGATAAAATGCGTATGCATCTGTCTACGCATATTGTGGTTCTTATTTCTCCAGGATGTATACCAAGTAGTGGGACTTTTAGTTCATACAGTATTTTTGTCTCCAGCTTGAAGGAAGCACCAAACCATTTTCTTTTTCCACAGTAGCTGTGCTATCTTACAGTCCCACCACAGTGTGAGGGTTCCGGTCTCTCCCTGCCCTTGCCATAGTTTTTAAATTTCTGGGTTTGTTTTTATATTTTAACTTTGCTATTATTGCTGGGGTAAGATGGTAACTCTTTATGGGAGTCAGCAAATGGAAATTAAAGGCATCCATAGCTCAATTTGTAGCCAAATGATAACTAGGGGAACAAAGAGGCCTGGTGTCTCTGTAGGTTTAGGCACTGGACTGCTAACTGCGAAGTCTGTGGTTCAAACCAACCAGCCACTGAGGGAGAAAAATGAGATTTCTCTGAGGGAGAATGATTTACAGTCTTAGAAACTATAGGAACTGTAAGATTTGGAATCTATTCAATGACAGTGGGTTGGGTTTGGCTTTGGGTATAAGGGGAACTGTTAACTAAGAAAGTACATACACCTTAGAATAATCAACCATTTAAGGTCAAAAGAACAGCGTTTACTCAGGGATAAAATTCAGAAGTGTTATGAAAAATGGAAATGAGATGGGTAATGTTACACTGTAGGGATTGCAATCAATGACATGAAACTAAATGTGTATGAATTGTTGGGGAACTGATTTGCTCTGTAAACCTTCACCCAATTCACACGTTAAAAGAAAAAAGCTGGATATAGATGTGTTTGTCAATATGGGAGCACTCTCTAATGATACTAAATGAAATTAAATACCCTGGGAAAATTGACTGTGCTATTACACTGTTAGATTGGCTCTTGGAAAGCAGGAAAAAGCAATCATGGCCCACACTAAAAGTAGTGTGGTGGAGTGAAATTTCTTAATAAGGCTCTTCTACCCAAGTCTCCGTAATTCCCACCAAAGGATTGGGTGAGACTATGCAAATGAGGCATGTGTAACGCTAATGGGGGATTGGCCAATTTTCGCTACCACCCACCACCATCCCAGCCCACCGCACCTCCCTGACTACAAGCATGAGCCACCTTTGAAACAGCAGTAGAGAAGGGAGATACCCAGGGGCCTTGGAAGAATGCATTTGAGACCACCAAGACCGATGTCTCACAGACGGTGGCACAGAGACCCAGAGGAGCAGCACCAAGACTATGAGGGGCTGTCTCCTCATCTGGCCCAAGACCCTGGAACTGGGGAACTGTGAGATCAAGTGACAAGTGGGTTACCTTCCCGGCCCATGGAGGCAAAGGCCAAAGGACTGAGACTGAAGAGACTGAGCACCTGAGAAAGACTTGACGACCACCTGGCTGAGGCTGAGAACTGGAGAGACACGTGGCTGCTGGCCGAGGAGACCACTAGCTGTATCCTTACTGTTTGCTGATCATGACTGTGGTAACCTATTGACTTTCCTGATAAGCCCCCTAAATTTTGAGCATTGTCTGTGAGTTCTGTGTGGCCACTGTAATGAATTCTCAAACCCAGCACAGATGTAGCGTGGCATCAGAGAAACAGTTGGTTTCAGAATTAGTATAGAAGAATGAGGTGCAGAGGCATGTCTGAGCTGGCCTCGTGGCAATGGGGAGGCCAGAGAAGAGCAAATATAGCCCTCATGTTGTTTATTGCAAGTAAAAATCTCAGAAGTGACTTGGTAATAGAGAAAGAAGGGATCAAAAACATAGGTAAAAGGGTACACTAGAGTAGACGTTCTACCTAAAGACCGACAGCCCAGCAGACTGGTAACGAGCTAGAGGATCTGATGGCCACTCGAGCTACTGTGGTAACCTATTGACTGTCTAGTCCTTCACCAAGGAGTTCACTAATCATCGAGGCGCACCTGTCCGTGGGAGCTGTCCTCTCAACTAGAGATGATGGTAGAAGAGCCTGGAGACGTTATTATAGCAGTGGGATCCCTGATACCAATGTGGGTGATAAGATCTAAAATTACACCTGCCAAAGGACAGCACTTAACTTCAGAAGCAAGGTGACTATAATGAGGCAGGGAGCGTGACCCACCAAGAGCTAAGAATATTATTAATCGAAAGCAGCATTCCCAGGAGCAAGACAAATGTAGATCCAATAGAGTTATTGCTATATCTCTAAAACCAAAATAAATCAAGACTGGATGGCCAGAAACCTGATGATCCTCTATCGGGTAATGATTCTCTGCCCAATTTCCTGACCTGAGTCAGTCCTCAGACCTGGAATCTACCGGCTGAATAAGAAGCCAGGTTTTCCGGAGGAAAACAAAATAGCAAATATCCAGGAATCTGGCCCAATTCTACCCCAAAGGGATCATGGCCATTAATTTGAATAGCCAAGTATTTGGGCAAGGAAAATATTTAAATATTTTTAAAACTATAGCACACAGACTCTGAGTTGACTTGGACCCCCGTATCACATCATAGTTTTCCTGTTAAGTTTCTTCCCTCTGCCCAGAACACCCCCTTCTCTACCTTGCTAACTCTCATGCACTCTTCAGTCTCTGCTTCTATGAATATATTCTCTCCTACCCAGAAGCTAGCCCGTTGTGGTCAAGTCAGTTCTAACGCATAGCAACCCTACTCAACAGTTTCCAAAGCTGAAGCAGACCACCGCATCTTTCACCTATGAAGCAGGATGGTGGGTTCAAACAGACACCCTTCCAATTAGCGGCTGAGCACTTAACCATTGCATCCCTTGGGCTCCCTTCCAGGCAAAATGCTCTGTTCTAAAATCCCAAACTTGATTAAGTGCGTGTCCTTTGTACTCCCACAATAGAGGCCAATGGAATAGAATTGAAAGTTCAAAAATAAACCCATGCAATTTATTTTCAACAAAGGTGATAAGTCCATAGAGTGTGTAAAGAATAATCCCTTAGTCAATGGTGCTAGGCCAACTGGATCTTCACATGCAAAGACATTAACTTGGACTCAGAACTCACACCATATCTCTATAGGATCCCAAATATCAGAGGAAGTAATAAAGGAGTCCAAATATCTCCTCTCACCTTTGAAACAAGCGCTAGTCTTGCCAAAGTCTGGCTGTAACTTGTTCCTTTGTCTATTCTAGGACTAAATAAATAGCTGTCCAAATAGCTGGTTTGTACAACAAAACAAAAACCAGTAGGTAGTATCTGAAAATGATTTAGCATAGATGGGAGTGAAATAGAATAATTTTCTTTCTCATCATATTCTACTTAGTTTAAAAACAATAGTCAGACCAGCCTGTTGTTGTCATTGTTGCTAGTTGTCCAATGGACTGTATCTCATGGCAACCCCCTGTGAGACATCTCTAAGTCAGGGGAGGTACAGAAGGAAAAAAACTACAACAGAAGTGTGGATACCCAAGCATCAAAGCAGTGATGGAATTCAACTGTTTTGCACTGGTTTGGGAAATCCAATACCTAATTTTTTTATTATTGTTA